TAATTATTGACTGGTGGATCATTGCATTGAGAATAAAAATGAGAAATAATCGTATATAAAAGAGTAAGGTCCCTTTGATTGCTGGAATTGAATTGAATTGAAGATGAATTCTAGGGAATCGAATTGCCTAGAAATTATTTTCCTGGGAATTGTAAATTATTGTGTTTGATTGGTATAATTTTTCATGTGGGAAATGTTAAAATAAAAGTGTTTTTGATATTCGTTTGACTTTATTTTATATGAAAATTGTGAATTAAATGGATAAAATCTACTAGTACAGTTAAACCTCGATAAAGTAATACTCTCAGGACCGGAAAAAAATATTCATTTAGCGAGGTTATTTATTTATCGATAAATGAATAAATTATTCATCTATCAATAAATAAATATTTATTATTTTAGAGAGAGCTTTTCAATATAAAATATGTATATTGTATGTGGTAAGAAAAATCAAAAGACACTAATCAAAGTATTATTTGAATCTAGGGAAGCTCAAAAGTTTTAGTGAAACTTAATATCTCTAAAAATTAAGTTCACGTACATAGCAAATGAAAAGATTTAGTCTTTACCTATAAAAGTTAGATGTTTGGAAGACATATTCCAAGTACATACAATATTTTGTTTCCCCTCCAATGTCTTCTCATCATTTGAAAGGAATAGAAAAATCAACTTTAACCGATAAAATGAGGAGTGTAATATGTGAGCATAAGAAAGAGATTCCAACTATTAGCCAAAAAGATATGCAAGCATAGGTGCAACAAAAGTTTGATTTGACTATTAGTCAATCAACAATATCGAACACTTTCAAAAGGGCGTCGGAATATTTGTCAAATGAGATGAAAAATAGCGATGTTAAAAGGCACAAATCGGCAAAATACCCTAATTTAGAGAAAGTTTTGTATGAGTGGTTTCTTCAAAGGCAAAATAAAGTGAACATGTTTGGAGAAATTATCCAAGGAAAAGCAAAAGAGCTTTTGCAAAAAATGTATGGTGAAACTAATCCAGAATTCAGCTTTTCTAGTGGATGGTTAGAACGTTTCAAGGCAAAATATCGAATCAAATCTTACCGACGTTTTGGTGAAAGTGGTTCAGTTATCATGGAGAACATTGAAAATGCTTTACCTGGAATACGATCAAAACTAGACCAGTTTCAATTTAAGGATATTTACAATATGGATGAAACTGGATTATTTTACCGATTGGAAGCTGATCATTCACTTGCTACCAAGCAACTCGAAGGACGCAAAAAAGATAAGGAGAGAATTACTGTTGTTGTTTGTTGCAATGGTGATAGATCTGACAAAGTACCACTTTAGGTTATTGGTAAGTATGCAAATCCTAGATGCTTTAAAAATGTGAACATGAACAATCTCAATTGCAAGTATCGATCCAACAAAAAAGTTTGGATGACTGGCTTGCTTTCTCAAGATTTTGTTGGTTGGTTTGATAAGAGAATAAATGGCAGGAAGGTTTTCTTAATAGTAGACAATTGCCCAACTCATCCAAAGGTAGTTGAAGGCTTGAGAAATGTAGAGTTATTTTTCTTACCTCCTAACACAACGTCTAAGATTCAATCATGTGATGCTGGGATTATTCGAGCATTCAAAGCTTATTATCGTCATCGTTTTTATTTTAGCATCTTACAAGGCCTTGAGGTTGAAGCACCAAATTCTGAAAAAATTAATATTTTGAATGCTATTAATTTTGCTAACATGGCTTGAAATTTTGATGTAAAGACAACAACAATTGCAAATTGTTTTCGGCATTGCAAGATTCGATCAGAAGAAAACAATGTTCCCGAACCAGAAGTTGGTGAATTAGATGAAGGTATCCAAGGATTAAATAATGTCATCTCTAATTTACACTATAGAAATGTGATGGATGTTGAACATCTTTTGAACTATCCTAGCGAGAATGATGTAGTTATGAAATCACCTACAGACGAAGAAATTATTCAAT